CCATCCGTCCCATGGCCACCACACCCAACGAGCATCCATGCAGGTTTGAGACGCGAGGATGGACGAGGATAGAGTTACAGTATACGCGATGCGTACAGAGAGAGAGAAAGAGAGAGAGAGATAGGAGAGAGAGAGAGGAGTATTCGGCCCGTGTCTGCCTCGAAAACGTTGGTGGAGAAGGGATAGGCAGGTAGGGGTTGCTACCGAATTAAACGATTAGTTAAACTGATTTCGAGTTAGGCGAATGAATAAGTAATCGGATTTCTCGTTAAGGTAATCGCATTGCGCCCTGATTGGCTCCGTCTGCCTGCGTTATAGACCGTTTCTCCCTCTACTACCGTTTCCATCGTTGTATATATGTATACATCTCTCTCTCTCCCCGCGCCAATCCCGCCTCGCGTTATCTTTGTTACACGAGCGTTAATTCTCTTCCCCGTTCGAACATCTCCTTTCCTTGTTCGTTACCTTTGTCGCTCGTTCCTCTCTCTCTCTCTCTCTCTCTCTCTCTCTCGTTCAACGGTAACGGAAGCATCATTCAGTATCCGTCTCCTTCCCGTCTGCTTCTATCTTCGTCGTCGATCTCTTTTTTTCCAAGCTTCTTTCAAGGATACTTGCCTACTTGGATACCTTTGGCTTTTGTATTTTGATCATCGGGATACCGTGTCACGATTTGATCGGTTGTTTGTAAAAGAGTTTTCGAAAGGTAAATTGTCGAGCGATGTAATCGGTTCTCTTTTTATACTTTTCTTTCTAAATCGAGTTAATCAAGACGAGTTATTTAATTCTGAAATTTATTAATTTAATTTTTTGAGTTATTTGAAATTTTCAAATTTCTATCTCTCTCGTTTCTTTATTTCTCGTATTTGATCAAACAATAGTCTAGATTATTTTCTTCTCTTTCACGCCTATCTCCTTTTCATCATCGTCCTTTCTTCTAGATTTCTCAACCAAGGTGGATTTACATCGTTCCCTTTCAGTTTTCCAATCCCCGTCGTTACTGTCTATCCATATCCGTCCCAACGTTTCACGGGCCGTGTTTGCCCAACCAATTACATTCCCGAACGCAATCCCATTTAAATATTGCCGAGTTTGGTAGCGGCAAACACGAGACACGCCGCGTCCCGGCCTCGCAATTCGAACGCGGCTGGCCTGTCAAAAGGCCAGTTACGCGTCCATTTCGATGTAAAACGTTGCCACGCAAATATTTTCGACTCTCCAAACTGGCGGCCATCCCCTTCCTCAAGATTCGATTCCGTCGCTTCTTGAATTTCAATTTCGTATCGAGGATTTTTTTCTAAGGGAGGAAGAAGAAAAAAATTCGACAATGGAGGGTGAAATTGAAAGTGGTTTCGATTTGCGATGGTTTGAAGAAAAAAGGAAGAAAACGAATCTAAATTAAGTTATTGTGAATTTTAAATGAAAGAAGATTATATATTATTTCTTTAATTTCCTTATAAAATTATTATAAAATTGTAAAATTTGCAAAATCATAACCGTTAAAAAATAGAATTCAATAATGTAAATAATTAATTGTAAATAAAAATTCCATCAACATCTATCTGCAACATCTATCTATCTACAAGAGTTTACACAAAATTTAATCCAATTTTATCCAACCTCAAAAATCTTTTAAGTCCTACATCATCTCCTCTTCGAAATATCCACGGAAGTAACGATCAACAGTACTAAATCATTTAAAACCGATCATCGTACCCCATCTACTAACTACGACATAAACATGATCGACAGGGATCGTGAATGAGCATCATTCTCACCTAAACCTATCATCCACGAGGGACGTGTGTCCACTATACAGTACATAACACCCCAACGCCACCGAGTGAGTGATTGCCGAAATGAGGATTGTTCGTGATGTCTACCTGTTCAATGTGTAACGAAGAGAGACAGCGCAAGAAGATACGTAAGTGCAAGAGAGACACACATAGGGAATCAGGTTTATCGCTGAATGATAATTGGTGAAATAAAGAGCAACGCATTCAAACGCTCAATACAAGGATATCTATACGATATATTACTTTCCAAAAGACAGAGAAATACATGAGAGAAACATAAGCACGTCCAAACGATGATCACACTTGGGCTATATTGAGTGTAGTTACGAACAAAGAAAGAAACGTATAGATACAAAAGATTGACCCAGACTATTGGTAGTTAGCAAAAGACAGAGAAACGCATAAGAGAGATGCATCGAAACGGTGACCAGGGAATTGGACTATCGCTATAGATGTTAGCGAAACAAAGAGAGAAAAAGAGATACATTGAAACGGTGGCCAACACAAGTAAGTCTACATCGCTAGATGGTAGTTCGCAAAAGACAGAGAAACGCGTAAACGAAAGAGAGACGCAGACGACGCATCCAAATGTAGAAGACCAAGCGTCGGTTTGCGAAACAAGGAGAGACACGTTGAAATGGTGGCCAGTGGATGGAATTGGGCTATCGCTAGGTGTTAGTTCGCGAAACAAAGAGAGTAGCGCGGAGACAAGAAAGAGAGAGAGAGAGAGAGACACGGCGGCAAGTAAGGTGTTAGTTTGGGAAGCGAAGAGAGAGACGGAGAAGCGAGAGGAGACATAGCAGCGAGCAGGGCTATCGGTAGGTGGGTAGTTTGCGCTTCGCGGGTGGAAAAGCGGGCGCAAATGCTAATGAGGGTCGGTTTAGGGGCGGTGGGGGTTTGAGCCGGGGTTGGGGGTGGAGGTAGACGGTGGTGGAAACGGGAGGGGGAGGAAGAGGCGAGGGCGTAGCGGAAACGCCTACGAGGGCGCGGATTGGCCGGCGTCCGAATGGCGTCCTGAGGGACGCGTGGCGTCGCGACGCCGAGCGCCAAGGCTACCACCTAGAACCACCACCGTGCACCCCCTCGAGGTGCTCTCCGTCCTCGGCGACGAGGTCG